GGGCAGGGCATGTCTCCAGGATGCAGGACCACCGCCTCCCTAAGATCATGCTATATGGAGAACTTGCCACTGGCTACCGCAAGAGAGGAGGCCCGAAGAGGAGATACAAGGGCTGCCTGAAACAATCCCTCAGCCTTGACCATATTGATCACCACCATTGGTCTACCCTGGCCTCCAATCGGGAGGCCTGGAGACACACCATCTATAACGCTGCTGCTGTTTTTGAGAATACACGTAGGACTACTCTCGAGGAGAAAAGACAACGCAGAAAGAATTGCGTCTCATCTATATCACCTGGGGAGTCTTTCTGCTGTGCCTTCTGCAACCGGACTTGTCTATCTTGCATTGACCTTTTTAACCATCAGCGCGCTTGTAGCAAGCGTGGGTAGAGCCCTTCTCAAATCTTCGTTCGCGAAGCCTAGCAATGATGATGACTGGACCAACCGCCCACGGACGGGGGGGGGGGGGGCAAGATCCCCTAGGCAGAGACCCCCTGAGAACTGGAAAGAATAAAAGGGGAGCTGTTCCTGACTTTGCTCTCTCTCTCGCTGGTGATGCTCACTGCCTGCATTGATTTGGGAAACCCCTGTGCGGGTTCAGCAGCCCCACACTGACTTGCCGCTGTGGCTCCTGCCATGACTTGCGGCCCAAAGTTGTTGATCTGATTCACCTCCCATGCGCGAGTCTGGAATCACCCAGCTACCACCCGGCTGCAGCCCTCCTGTCTGTCAATGCCACAACCACTGGAGCCTTGGTGTCCCCACACCCCACAACAGCTGCTGGTTGGGAAGTTTCCTTTGTGTGGGATGAGCACAGCCACACTTGCTGCATCGTGTGGAGCCTGCTCTGCACCCTCTGCTGCAGACCGTCAGAAACACGGTACTGTGCGCCTGATACCAGCACCACATACCAAAGTTCTTCCTGCTGCTGCTGCTGCCTCCTGGTTTGCCGCAACTGCTCGCGGCTCTGACCTGCCACTTTCCCGCCACCTGCAACCATCGTTGCTGCTTCCACATGGCAGCCACCTTGCCACCAGGGCCATGTGACCATGCCAGAACTGTGTTGTCTCCCCGGCAATGCAGAAGTGAAGAGAGTGATTTCTGGGTGACTTTTTTTCTCTGTTATTGTGTGGGTGTTGTTTTTGTTCTGTTTTGTTCCCTGGTTTTCAGTAAACTGTTTATTTAATTTCTACTCCTTGCTCATAAGTCTCATAATTTTTTTTCAAATTTACAATAAGTCCAACAGGGAGGGGTTTCTGTTTCATCTGAGGTCCCACCTCCCTGGCAACATTGTCTTTAACCCAAGACACACCCTGATCCAAGACAGGTTAATGATAGGAACAAGAGAGAAGCTGCAGATCAGTTCTGTTCAAGACCACAGGTTGCTACTTCCCCATGCATCTGGTCTCATCTACATTCTGAGGATCCTCCAACCCTGCTCAACACACAGGAGCCAAGACACAAAGTAGCACTGTGATAGCATCCGTGCCTTTGAACTCAAGCCAGTGATCACAGCTACAGATAACAGTTCACCTGAAGGACATTTCTTTTATAGCCAAATGAGATCCTTCTTCAACACTGGAGGCATATTTCAGCAGCTCACTAACCATTCCAGATATGCTAATTAGCAAGCCCTCATCATTTGAAAAAGTTTTGTCAAGAACACAACAAAAAACAGCAACATAGCATTTGGAGCTGCTGAATACCCAAGCGACTACTTATGTTGCTGGAACAGTTTGCCATAAAAAGGAAACTGCCTTGTTAGGATTCCAACAGGCTTGTACAATCTTGTTGTCGTGGTTTTGCCCAGCCGGCCAACCCCTGGGGCTGAGAATAGTTTTGTCTAGGTGAATTTCCGAACAAGAAACCAATTAAAACTCTCAGTAACGCCTTTGCTAATTACATATTTAAGAAAAATGGAAGAGAAGGCTTGTGTCGCAGTTGAAATTAAGCAGTCATGTAGGAGGGGTAGCAACGGGCCCCGAGTGGGCCAAGGCCCCCTCCTTCCCCGACCCTGGGCCAGGGGCAGGTGTAGCACTGAAACTCCCCCTTTTCTTCTGTAAGAGAGTGAAGAAAAAAAAAATTTAAAAAACGAACTGCTTAGACAGAAACTGCGGCAGAAGAATTTCAGCAAAGAGATAACGAAATGTTCAAGGCCAAAGCTACAGTAGGAAAGAGAGAAAAGAGAAATTAGAAAGGGGGGGCTACTTCTTCCCCCTTTCACTCTCTCCCTTCAACAGGGAAAAGACTGAAAAAATAAATCCCTACTACCTGTAGAAGATTATTGGAGTGAGGAGACCCCCATGCGGCTCACAGAGGAACTTGTGGATGTACCAGAGAATTGAGACTTTATGAGAAGGACTGAGGTGAGGCAGAGTCCTGTTGGAGATTTGTGACCCTGAGAGAACTTCACGCTGGAGTAAGAACGGCTCAGGTGAGATGTTGGGATCTCAGTGAGAGATCCATGCTACTAGTGCTGAAGATTTGTGACCTTGAGAGAACCTCACGCTGGAGTAAGACGGCCCAGGTGGGATGTTGGGATCCGAGTGAAGGATCCATGCTAGACCCATGCTGGAAAAGTCTATCAAAGACTGTTCTCCCATGGAGAGGGACCTCCATAGAGAACAGGGGTAGACTTATAAGCCATTATCCTCTGTAACTCTGTGAAAAAAGATCCATGGTAGGCAAGTGTCCCCTTGTAAGTCCATGAAAGAAGATCCTTCAGAACCTGGGTAACCCCCCAGCCTCCGACCTTAGCCCAGGAGGAAGGTAAGCCCAACTCTGGAGGCCAACACAGAGAAGGAAAGAGAATTCCAGCTGCGACGAAAGTGCTGCAGAGTTACTGGAGAGAGAAAGCTAGAACTCTAAAAATGGAGAAAAGGACTGCTTGTCCTCCTTAAACTGATATAAAGGGGGGAGAAGTATTTCTGTAAATACATAGTACTTTTACTTAAGTAGAATTATTGTAGATATAGTTCTTTAGTAGTTTTTATTTTGCTAATAATAAATATTCATATTATTTTCCCCAAAATTCAGTCTCTTTTGTCTGCATAAACCTTCTCTCAACTGACAGTAATTGTGCGAGGAGTGTAAGCAAATTGACCCAGAGCAAAACCACGACACTTGTATAACCTAATATCTTTTTAATGTGAAGTTAACCTTACTAATGTTAGATTATATTTCACAGCCTATTCTGGTTTTATTCATAATTTCCATGATTTTACCCAGTTTCTCCTTTAACCATCTTCTGGGAGATGGCAGCCAGGAGAGGCCATCATTGCACTCAGGGGAATTTACTCATACGATCAGGTCAGCAGCATGTGGACAAGCAGATATTCAGCCATACAAAGATATAGAGGGAAGCAAGAATGTGAGAAGTTTCCCTCTTGCAACAATCAATGTTACATGATTGGGAATTCAAGCAGGGCAGCACTGCATAAGAGTCTGGATGGGTAAAGGTGTCATGGGGCTTGATGAGATCAGCACAAGGTTTTTTAGGGATCATTGTAGTCAAGGGGCGAGCCTTTCCCCATGTACATTCCTGGTTTGAAGTGGACACAAAGAAAGCCTGCAGAACGTCTCATAGGAAGACCTGTGATAAGGTGACAGAGTTGCACCAAATGGAACATTTTGAAAGGTCTTTAGCTCCTCAAACTATTCAAGCAGTAGTCCTAGTAGGCTCACACTTGGCTAGGATATCCAAAAGTTCAGCAGGGATTTAACTGGCCTCCGCTAAAAGATTGAGTTTTGAGCCAAAGCAGGCCTTCAATTTTCAAATACAGCCATGAAATTTTGTAATTTTGAACTAATTGTATGAAATGAAATATGAAATGAAATGCTGCTTTTTACAGTCTTTGCAGCAGCACTATTAAACTGTCTCAAGCTGCTTCTCACATGAGTTTTAACATAACAGCTCAACTCAACTATGTGCCAGCATAAACCTTAAAGGTCACTTGACAGATGAAAGTCCAGCAAGAAACACAACATAGTCCATTCACACCAGATGCAGGGCAATGTATCCTATGCCCCAGCAGCAGCAGAGGTTAGCCTGAGCACTGCCATATTAACACAGCTGGGCCACTATCAGCCCCTGAGCTAGTCAATCAGCAGAACACCACGCCATGCTGAGATGCACCAGATATATCCTCATGGTAGCATTTCCCTTAGTGCTTTCCCCTAGTGCTTTCATCCATGACAACTTCACTTAAATCTCTCTAAGCAGCCCATGCTCAGCATCATGAAGAAAATGCTTTCAAGCTAGGGAGTGCTACTTTCTAAGAAACATTTATATAAAATCATTCTTCTTCTGAACCTGCTACGTAGTTGTACCATGACCCAATCATGGACTTGATAGCCCAGTGTTACACTGTGAGCATCACTCACACATGCACTGAACTAAGGGCCACTTCAAATTGACTAGTAGACATTACATTCAAAGGTTCACTCTGGTCCCAAGGTGACCAGGCTGTGCATGACTCCTCCTGAAGCTGGACTCCCGCTCTGGTTCTTCCTGCAGTTGGAGTACCCCAAATCCAAACCCCTTCATCATAGGCTGACTGCTGCAGGAAATTGTTTCCCAACATTTCTTGTCTCATCACACAATTTTGTAGGATATACTCAAATTAAAAATGTACTTGAAAGTCATAAAAACAACAACTAGTTGTCTAAGTATCACAGTAGAGGAAGACCCCATACACCAGCTTAGGGGATCCAAGAATCCCCTAAAACTGCCAACACTCATGACATAATGCTTCAGCTGGAGCTGCTTGCTGCACTTGCAGGTGTGAGAAAGGTTCCATCCCTGTCTACAGAAACAGCATTTCTTACAACATTTAGATTTAACTCTGCAACCATGAAGCTGACATTTAAACACAAACGGCTAACCGCTTTAGCTATGGCTAGAGATGTTTAGTACCTTCAATACTTCCAGAAGTTTAAAGACATAGGAAACTTTCTCACATATCTGAGAAAAAAAATTAATTAGCTTAAGAAACACTTTACCTCATAAATGTTGGGGTGCCACATTTTGGTCAGGAATCTGAAGGTAGGTGGTGAATATGGATAGTCAATAGGAAATTTAATGTGAGCCTGGAAAATAAAGCAAAATATTTTAATTATGAAACAGAACAAAGAGATCAACAAGAACCATTGCAGTGAAAACACTGAAAAAAAATTTCCTTTAAGTCCATTAAATATTTTTTTATATATATCAGTGCCCATGTGGACCCACAGTATAACTCTACACAATTTCTTATGAGCAAAACACGAACTGAACAAGAAAACTAAACACCAGGCCTTATCTGGGCTGGTAACACTCAGAAAACAAGCCACAAGGCATTTACCAAGTCCTAATTCAATCAGTACTATCCAAGAACTGTTGTTCAACAGATTCGAGAAGTTAGAACTCAAGATATAATTGCTGTCTTGCTAGGTTCAGATGCAGTCTAAAAACACCTACTAAGGTGAAAGGACCTGTTCTACATTTGCCAGTGCAAAGGTTTTCAATTACTCTTTCTCTGTGGGGAAAAAAAAAATTAAATACACGCCCAATTGAGATCGTAGAACCATAGAATTAACTGGGTTGGAAGAGACCTCCTAGATCATCAAGTCCAACCCTTGATCCAACCCCACTGTGATTATTAGATCATGGCACTCAGTGCCACATCCAGCCTCGTCTTAAAAACCTCCAGGGACGGTGAATCCACCACCTCTCTGGGCAGGCCATTCCAATGCCTGATTACCCTCTCTGTAAAGAACTTCTTTCTAATATCCAACCTAAACCTCCCCTGGCAGACCTTAAGCCTGTGCCCTCTTGTCCTACTGCTGATTGCCTGGGAGAAGAGACTGACTCCCATCTGGCTACAACCTCCTCTCAGGTAGCTGTAGAGAGTGATGGAGTCACTCCTGAGCCTCCTCTTCTCCAGTCTTAACAACCCCAGCTCCCTCAGCTTCTCCTCACAGCACTTGTGCTCAAGTCCCTTTACCGGCCTCGTTGCTCTTCTCTGGACCTGCTCCAGCACCTCAATGTCTTTCCTGAACTGAGGGGTCCAGAACTGAACACAGTACTCAAGGTGTGGCCTCACCAGTGCTGAGTACAGGGGCAGGATCACTTCCCTGGTCCTGCTGGTCACACTGTTCTTGATGCAGGCCAGGATGCCATTGGCCTTGGCCATCTGGACAAACTGCTGGCTCATGTTCAGCCTCCTGTCAATCCAAACTCCCAGATCCCTTTCTGCCTGGCTGCTCTCCAGCCACTCTGTCCCCAGCCCGTGGGGCTGCTGGGGGTTGTTGTGACCAAAGTGCAGCACCCAGCACTTGGCCTTGTTGAACTTCATCCCATTGGAATCAGCCCAACTCTCCAGCCTATCCAGGTCCCTCTGCCTTCCAGCAGGTCGACACTCTCTCCAAACTTGGTGTTGACTGCAAATTTGCTAATGATGGACTCAATCCCCTCACCTAAATCATCGATAAAGATGTTAAACAGGACTGGGTCCAGCACTGATCCCTGGGGGACACCACTGGTGACCAGATGCCAGCTGGATGCAGCCCTGTTCACCAGCACTCTCTGGGCCTGGCCATCCAACCAGCTCTTAACCCAGCACAGAGTGCATCTGTCTAAGCCGTGGGCTACCACCTTTTCCAGGAGTATATTATGAGAGAGTGTCAAAGGCTTTGCTGAAGTCCAGATAGACTACATCCACAGCCTTCCCCTCATCCACCATGCGGGTCACCTGATCATCAAAGGAGATCAGGTTGGTCAAACAGGACCTGCCCTCCTAAACCCGTGCTGGCTGGGTCTGATCCCTTGTCCATCCTGTAGGCGCTGTATGATTGCACCTAGGATGATTTGCTCCATAACCTTGCCAGGAACTGAGGTCAGGCTGAAAGGCCTGTAGTTTCCCAGGTCCTCCTTGCAGCCCTTTTTGTAGATCAGCGTGACATTTGCCAACTTCCAATCCTCTGGGACCTCCCCAGTGAGCCAGGACTGTTGGTAAATGATGGAGGGCGGCTTGGCAAGCTCTTCTGCCAGCTCCCCCATCGCCCTAGGATGGATCCCATCTGGTCCCATGGACTTGTGTGGATCCAGGTAGCTCAGTAAGTCACTGACTATTTCCTCCTGGAACACAGAGGGGCTATTCAGCTTCCTGTCCCTGTCTACCAGCTCCAGAGGCCAGTTGTCCTGAGGGCCACCTGTCCTACTGGTGAATACTGAGGCAAAGCAGGTAAGTACCTCAGCCTTCTCCTCATCCCTGTTAACTATGTTCCCCCCCCAGTCCAACAATGAATGGAGGTTTTCCTTGCCCCTCCTTTTGTTAGTAATATATTTATAGAAACACTTTTTGTTATCCCTAACAGAATAGCCAAATTGATTTCAAATTGGGCTTTTGTCTCTCCAATTTTCTTTCTGCATGACCTAGTTATATTCCTAAACTCATCCTGAGTAACCAGTCCTATTTTCCATAGTCTGTAAGCTCTCTTTTTATCTCTGATTTCCTTCACAATCTCCCCATTCAACCAAGCTGGTCGTCTACCCCTCTGGCTTGCCTTTTGGCACACTGGTACAGCCTGTTCCTGTGCACTCAAGACTTCCTTCTTGAAACACGTCCATCCCTCCTGTACCCCCTTGTTTTCAAGGGTTTTTTCCCAGAGGAAAAGTCTGGACCAGTCTTCTGAACAGGCCAAAATCTGCCCTCCGGATGTCCAGTGTAGAGGTTTTATTGGTGGCCTTCCTTGTATCCCTGAGTATTGAAAACTCTATTTTTTCATGGTCACTGTGCCCCAGATGGCCTCCGACTGCTACATCTCCCACCAGCCCCTCTCTGTTTGTAAACAACAGGTCTAGTGGGGTCCCACCCCTGGTAGGTTCATTTACCAGCTGGAGCAGGAAATTATCCTCTATACGCTCTAGGAATCTTTTAGACTGCCTCTCCTCTGCCATGTTGAGTTCCCAGCAGATATCCGGCAGGTTGAAGTCGCCCACAAGAACAAGGGTTGGCAATTTTGAGACATCTGCCAGCTGCTTGTAGAATAATTCATCCCTTTCATCATCCTGGTTGGGTGGTCTATAACAGACTCCCATTAGGATGTCAACCTTGTTGGCCTTCCCCCTGATTCTGGTCCACAGGCACTCAACCTTATCGTTGGTTACCTCAAGTTCTACAGAGTCAAGAGACTCTCTAACATATAGAGCCACCTCTCCACCTCTCCTACCCTACCTATCCTTTCTGAAGAGCTTGTAGCCATCCATGGCAGCACTCCAGTCATGCGAGTCATCCCACCATGTTTCTGTGATGGCAACTATGTCATAGTTTTCCTGCTGCACGATGGCTTCCAGCTCCTCCTGTTTGTTGCCCATGCTGCGTGCATTAGTGTATGTGCACTCCAGCTGGGCTGCTGATTTTACTCAACTCAGGCTTTTCATCTCTGGGCTTCTCTTTGGAGAGCCTGGTTTCAACCCCTTCCCCTTCAAACCTAGTTTAAAGCCCTCCTGATGAGCCCCGCTAACTTATGGGCTACAGTCCTTTTGCCCTTCCTAGATACATAAAGCTTATCTGATTTAAGAAGACTTGGTACTATGGAATTTGCCCCATGGTCAAAAAAACCAAAATTTTGACAGTGGCACGAATCCTTTAGCCACCTATTGATAAGGTAGGCTTTCCTACTCTTTTCCTCATTCATCTCCTCATTCATCCCAGCAAGTACAGGAACTGAGGCAAATACTACCTGTGTGCCTGTCCCATGAACTGATCTACCCAGTGCCTTGAAATCCTTTTTGATTGGCCTGGCACTTCTTCTATTAATATCATCACTGCCAGTCTGGATTACCAACAGTGGATAGCAGTCTGAGGTCCGAATTAGCTCAGGAAGTCTCCTACCAATGTCCCTCACCCTCTGGGAAGGTAGCATACCTCCCTGTGGTATGGGTCTGGTTGACATATAGGGCTCTCAGTTCCCCTCAAAGGGGAGTCACCTACTACAACTACCCTTCTTTTTTTTCTTATAGCTGTAGTTGTAACCTGTGTGGTAGACAGGGTGCAACTTGCAGACAGATCTTCCTCTTGCCTGACCTCTACTTGACTTTCCGAGTCTAGGGCCTCATATCTGTTGTTCAAGGGCACCCAGGGAGGTGATGGGGGTCGAGAGGGTGTTCTTTTACCTCTCCAGACAGGGACCTGTTTCCATTCCGCCCCATCTACTCGGTTTGCTCCATCTGCCTGATGGCAGGAGGGGCAGAGTGTCACTGTCTCCTGCTGGACTTCCTTGGGGGTCAAAAGGGTGCGACTCCACCAGTCTATTTCCTTTTCACTTTCCCTAATGCTTCTCAGCCTCTCTACCTCTTCCTTGAGCTCTGCTAGCATGCACAGCAAATCATTCACCTGCTCACATCGCACACAGGTGCCTCTCACAATGCCCTCTGGCACTGCTGCCAGGGTCAAAAAGTCTGCGCAGCCAGAGACCTGAATGGCTGCATCCTTCTTGGAGGGTTCTGTCTGTGTCAACACACTCCTAGTGGTAAAAGTAGTGATGGCTTTCATTTTTTTCGAAACCATTACTGGCTTTAGTTGAAATGTGAGGGGAAAAAAAAAAAAAGCAGCAGCTCACCTGAGAGACCTAGGAGGTGGCTGTGCCCTCCCTGTCTGTTCTCCCTACCTGTGCAAACTGACATGCCACACCCCTGTTCACCGTGTTCCTTGGAGACGTTTATATAGCCCTCTGTAGCACCAGATAATGAGCCTGTCCCACCCCTCTCTCACCTGAGTCGGTTCCCAAGGAGTGGCCAAGCCCAGGCAGGAATCCAAAGGGTTGGGTTTTTTTTGCCTTTTTTGTGCTAGTTAAACTGGTCCATCTACCTGTGTTCCTGAAAGTTACTTAATTTCTTGCCACAAGCATTTCCAAAGTCTGAATACCATCTGTTTGTTTAATAAATCAGCATAACTTGATGAACCAAATATTAATGGTCAATGACATAAACGTTACCTTCCAGTGCCTCTGAGGTCAGTAGCCATCTGTGGGGCAGGAGAATGTCATGGGTTTTAGTAGCGGGGGGATGGGGGGGTGGGGGCTATAAGTTAGTTGTGGGAAGACTG